AGGTTCCTTACAAATTCTATTTGGGGCAGCTTGTGTTTCCCCTTTTCTTGTCTCGGGACCCTTCAGCTGTTTGATGAGTTGTTGCCTAGGCAACAGTGAATGGCATTAAATGTTCATAGTTGTGAAATAGTTGTTTATTAATATTGTAGGGTGCTGTTTCCATCCGCGTTCGTTCCACGTCTGCTTGATCACTATTAGTACTGACTTCTGGATACATTTCTGTTTTGCAACCTACAAGTTTGGCACGTCAGCGGCGCGGCGCATCTGTCACCTCGGCCGAACATCCAAGACCATCAACATTCACGTGCTATTTGATCATTTGCTAATGTATGCGATGACATATATACAGAAGGTGTATCAAATGCTACGTCTCTCGACAGCCTTAGAGTGACCTCAGTTCTTTGCGAATATGTGGCTAGCCGGAAACAGGCTCTAACGTTCGGCAATGAAGGAGGTCATAGCCACGAAGTTATCAACATCTAAACATGACTCGCGTGTCATGGTGACCTGGTACATACTGCTCTATACCTAAAACAACTTTTGATATTTCGCCGGCAGACCAATAAAACATACGTGATGTTGGCCAACATTTTTTTTGGGGTCCAGTCGTTTGGTGAAACAAATCCTTAGATTGATCGTTTAGTCTGATCGGTAATTATAACCGAAATTTATTACACGCGTAATCCGTGTTAAGAAATACTAACAAAATTGATATAACAATCAAATTGGGCAAAGGTGTGGCGTAGTTAGTATGCAATGTCTCATCTAAAAGTTCATGGTCCGACAAGTCTTTCTGGAAAAAGTATTTTATGTGACTGTAATCTGTATATTAATGAAGTATTTACCTCGTTCACACCCATTCATCGTCAGCTGATCAATTAATACATGTTCAAAGTCGAAAAAAATGAGTTATTCAAATGTTTTGAATCCAAAATAATGTCAACAGAAATCCTTAACGGTCGCATTTGATTTCACACTTGACCGAATTTTTGGAACCCGACGTGAGGTGCGGTAAGGTCTATGTCACTGCACTGCGAGATACACGGGTTGATTAACCGATAACGCTTATCGCCTGAACGTAAATATTCCTGCAATACCAAATGTTAGTGGAGTTGCACAATTTAACGATCTATTGCCAGGAAATTGATTCGTTACACATGTTTCATTAAAGTTGGTAGTATTTAGTATCAAAAATATTTCGCAGTACACATCTAAGTGAACGCCAGAATATTAATTTTGTTCTATAATAGTTAATTAGTAGGCGACAGACGTGACGGATGACGTCGCGTTCGTAGTAACTACTACAGTTTAATGAACTTTGTAATTATTACCGTCCAGGAAAACTGCCTAGTGTAGTGACATTGCTCGACCCATGACTGCTAGGTGCATCGGCTTAGCAAGTACCAGGCGTTTATAAGCTATCAGGAGCATACTAACTCGCTAAGAGTTCAGTGATTAGAAGCGTTTACCGTGAGAGCTGGCGACGGGCCAACCAGGCCACATCGGTGCGTTCACCCACAGGCACACACGCCATAAAGATAATTACTTACCATTGTTTTTATTTCCACTACTACTACTATTCCAAATATTTTGGGTTCTTGCTGCAATCAAATTCATCAATGAATGTTAATTGGTTTTCGCCGTGATCGTAGGCAACAAATATTTAATGATCGTTTTAGTGCAAGTATCTGCTTAGTACGTGATTCAATACGCGTGTGGCCAGTTATTCGTCCGACGTTCTGTAACTGCTAAACGATGTGTCACCGACATGTTGTGGCGAGACAAATGTAATTTATTTGCTATAATCCTTGCAAACAATTATCTGTGATTTTCATCATCTTCATTACAAGAGATAATTTCAAAGTTTATACTGAATTTAGAATAACCTGTGAATGCACTGCTATTACCAATCGGTCTGTTAGATGTCTATTCTAAGATGTAGGTTACACAACGCTCCACAATGCGATATTTTTCACGTGGGTGACGTCACAGCGCGCCTGCAGCATTGCATGATCACTGGGGAACATGTTCGGGAGCTCATTTATTTTCTTCCTTGCCAGTGTTATCTCGCGATGTATTAAAACAAACTTCGCCATAAATAACACTTATGTCCTTACCATGACGTAGGTACAACATAAACCAGTTTTCGGTTATTTTATGACAAATGCAAAAGTTTATCTTGTCCAATCTGTGTTGGAATACCTAGTGCGTCGACTTGTCAAAATTAGGTTCGATGCACTTTGCATTAGTCATTTCTAGTTCGTAAATGCGCAGTTGTGGGTTGAATCATTTTGTATATAGGTACGGAAAATGGTTATTTAGACAGCATAGGAAGATACCAGACATTTTTGCGTCAAAAATTACCTTTGAAATGATAAAATTTCCATAATACATCATCGTACACGTTCTTTGAACTGTCGTCGCCGTGTAATAACTAATTGCGAGGTAGCCACCGAAATTTATTAATATTCAACAGATTATAATAACAAATGTCAAAGATAATAATTTATAAAAGAAGATTTTACGTAACGTACTTAATCATTACCTTAAACATGTCACTTTCTAGTTAGGTTTTACTTGCGACATTAACACGAGAGAGTATCTTTTGCTTTCGATCTTTGGACAGAAGGAACGACCGCTATCTACATAATTATTATACACAGTTTTTAGACCCCTTTAGATCCTAGAGTTCCTCTACCACATGTACCAGGTTCACATAAAAGTATAAAAGTCTTCGCACCATTGTAGGTACCTCGAGTCTCATTCTCATAACCATAATACGTTATATTCAAAATATTGTTCCGTCATAACACAATATTTACACCGACAGCTTGCACATTAATAATTCATTCACTCTCACATTCAATAAATGCGTATTTTAGGACCTCAACTCGTGGGTTTTCGGCTTAATGCCATTCTTTTTCTGGTTTATTATCCGTTAAAAATATGAATGCAAAAATAATAAGCGTTGAAATTCGATGGGCGGTCTAAATTTTTTATCTTGATATTAATTACGTCCCAAAATCTTAATTTTAAATTTTTATTATGCCTTAATTAAATCGGCTCGTGTTCGGGATATTTAATTGTTTTCGGCTCTTGGTCAATAAAATACAGTTTCTTTAATGAATGAATGACTGTATAGTGTTTCATTTTACCTCTTGTACTGGGATGGCGTCCTAGTACTTTCAAATGTGTACTTAATCATTTTCATAATGACTTAAAAGTTGTATTACACGAATTTTCCAACTTAGCTGATTTAACTACCATAAAATTATACTAAATACTTCAATAAACAAACGCCATCTTCTACATTTATACTATTTATAGTGTTACATCTTGACTAATTCGTGTAATTACCTTGACTTGAAGGATAAGTCTAATCTAACAAATGCCGGTTAATATTTAGTTTATTGAATTAAGTTAAACTATAGTTTTGTAACTTACTCATCTCTACCTTGATCTATACTCAACTTGCTATTGTTCAAAACAGCACGGTATTTTAATTTGCGTTCTATATTTGAAAGCGATCGGCGCATACGCAGCCTTGGCTCTGATAACATCGTAAACATCAATATTATAATTTATTGTTTGTTGTTAAATAAATTAAAAATATAATTTTATAAAAGTTTTACTTTTCTGAACTTGTGGAGGTAGACATTTTTAATTAAAATGTTCCAAAAATATCAATATTTTATAGCTATCTTCTTCTTGTTTTTTAACCTTTGTGAAAAGTCCATATCTGTGCATAGTACCTAATTAAGACAAAAGTTTTACTTTTATTATGAAACTAAATATTCTTAACATTTATAAATAAGTTGTAATCGGTGAACAGTAATGCAATATGACAGGCCTGCCAACTGTGTCAGACATAATCCGACCTGTTACATAGCACCAAAATTACAGTAACACAACTCTGTACAAATGGCCCGTATCAACATCCGCTGTGAGACGTCATATAAATACAAACATTGCAAGTAATTTGTGGTATCGTTGTAGCTGCTAAATTGTGATATTAGTACGTAGATAGCCAATTTATATTGTCTGGACGACTTGTACTACTGGTTTATGGTCTGTCTGTGGTCGAGGGTATGGGTGGCAAGTTTTTGCTCTCCTCTGACCTTGCCGCGACTTTTACGTACCTACATGGAAGTTCGGGTAAAAATACCCACATTATTTGCTTGAGTGGACTATTAATCTCAATTAATTTTGTCATAACAAGGAGTATCGAGTTCGATTCGATTAACTAATCGACTGACTAAACACGTTATTTGTGTAATGGAATATTCGATTCTTAATTATTATTTATTAATTCTTTAACGACTCCGATGTAATTGAAAAGACAGTAATTTTCTTGAGTCAAGTTTAAGTTGATAGTTTTCTACTTCCTTGTAAGTTAATTACCATTGATAGTAAAATATGTACCTTTGTTTGGGTACTTAAACTACTTAATCTGTCAAACACCAAGCGGTCACCGGTGACCGCGACCTATTGTTCATTAATTGTGTCTATAAAACCGGTACTCGACGAGTTAATTAACGAATTGAAACGTTTATTTTGCAGTTTTATTGTAAATCTCACCATTTTTGTTTCTATAACTTTATATACTAACGTTTACTCTCTTTTCCAGGTAAGACACGGATCCCACGCTACCAGGAGAACATCCCTAAGTATCGTAGTCTTAAAACGTAAACAAACATTATTAGGTAACTATTTCATAGCGGTCGTAAGTGGCAAGTGATTAGCATAGCTCTAAGTTACGACAATGTATGACACTTCGGTACAGGCTCACTGCGTGGGTTTCATTGATCCCTCGTAACATCGACCTGCAAACGGCTTGATAAGTTGTATTTCTGACAACTCATGTTGTCCTGGTCCAGTTTGATCAGGTATCAAATTATTGAGAAAAGTTTTTTCTTGCATTTTATTTAGTGTGAAAGAAAGTAAGCACAATAATGTAGTTGTTATTATAATCTGAATACTGAGTTCCTAAGAAACCGCAAATGATCACAACAAATCTTCTATTCTCACCACAATCTTGTACAATATTTAGATTGAAAAAAGTAACCATCACGAAAATAACACGGGTCTCGTCCCGCCGTTTCCCTTTCGTCGGAAGATGTCTATCTCGGGCAATCAGAGTGAAATGGCGAACACTTCTCTCCCTCACGCCTACGCGACATTCCCTAGACGCCACGTGTCAACCTACTCCTGCAATGTATCAACTCAATGCCAAAACATTAAACGAAATTAACATTAATGGCTCAAGAAACAAGGTCTCTAATTGCTCAAGTAGACGCTCAAAGATGGGCTGCACAGCTGAGTGAATAAGGGCACATGTTTGTTATATCCATGCAATATCTAACCTAATCTTAACTTGGTAAGATCTATATTGCTATGGAACACAGGTTGTCTTCAAAACATCCACTGTTCCATTTTCGAATGCTCCTAATTTTGAAGCTACGGATATTATATTTGTGTAAACAGTTTTGATACTTATAATTTATTATTTAATCTGGGTGCTTTTACATAATTTGAACATTAAAATAATGTTTTAAAAGTTTGATAATTAATGACCTATGGTGACCGCAGAAGAGTGATAAATTATGCATTAACCATTGTACCAGGACAAATTACTGAATAAAACAAATGTCGACCGGACGTTGAACGCTGCCAATTTCAGTTCGATCAACCCCAAACACCTCCCGCCGCACTACACCCCTTGTGTCACCCACACTCGCTAAGACGAACCATTAATCATTCCTGTACACGTATCTCCTGACCGTGAGCCATTTAAATTTAGATTTTATACTGCAGGAGTTAAAGACGTTAGTCATTTATTACGGAAGTGCGAAATACGCCTGTTTGTCGCTGAGCAGGTGAGGCGTCTGCTTACTCTTCTCACCTCTGTGCCCCTGGTATTACATAAGTCGAGTGCAATGGCCGCTCTAAAACACCAGGAAAACTGCCATTTTCTCCCTAGAGGTATATTTCCTTAAGTTACCTCCATTTTAGTGAAAAATGATGATGATCCGCATTTATAATGTGGTCGGCATAATTTTTTAATAAAGATTGTGTTAAGTAGGCCGTGAGATGTTTTGTTTTACTGAAGAATTCGTCGGATCGTTTGTATTGTTTCTAGTAACAAACTTTGTGTTATTACAAAGTGTTTTAAGAGTTAGAGGTGAAGAGGAAAATAAAAATATTATTTTAGCGTAAAACACTGACAACATTAAAGAATTGAATATAAAATGTAATTGGTTAAATAATAACGTGAGAGCGCTCTTGAGAATTATTTATACAGAGCTTAGAAAAGAGCAGTCGTTTGTAGAAGCAAAGCATACGAACCCCTTGACGTGACCCACATAAAAACAATGCATATTTCACTGTAATCTGCGTGTCGTAATTAGCAGGGTGGCCGGCCGCGGTACTTGTGCTGCGCCGCTTGAATGTGGGTTAGATTCGCGAGCGAGGTCGGCAATGCACCGGTCGCAGACCGCTGCCGGGGTCGTTGACCGGTATCGATCGCGGGGTGGCGCGGCGAGGGTGCGACACGGCACGCGCCCCTGCGGCGCCGCGCCCCCGCGCCCCCCACACACGCGCCCTCACCAACTCGTTCCGCTACCGCATGCGTCACCCTGGTCAACTTGACGACATTTCCCGACAAACTTCTCGTCTTATCATGTTCCTCGGTGATGAGTAGTTCCTCGCCAAAATTTGGGTACACCAGCTCATACAGCTTTTCGCTTATGCATTATATTTTTCCGAGTTCTAGTGCTGGTGTAGTGATAAACTTTGTCCTAAAATGTTAATATGACCGGTTTACTCAGGTATCCCACAAAAATGCCCACATACCTCTACATACGTCTTGTAATTGTTTGTACGTTTCGTATTAAGTGTTGACAGTTTTTTGACGTGGATGTGGAGTTCACTGCAGTTCAGTAGTGGATGTTGATCTGCTGAGCCCCCGCGGGCTGGCGCGCCGCCAAACGTTATGACGAAACCGTGTCTCTAGTTAAACAGCATTGGGTAACGTTTTCCTATCGAAAACGATTATCATTTACAAATTCGGACAATTTATGTAATGTTTTTAATTCACGGAAATTAACATTGTTCTTCATTATTTTTGTTCCATCCGTTTTTATTGCATCTACACTAATCTTCAGGTAACGTTACAATAAACAGAAATGACTAGGTCTTTATTAAAACAATGACGAAATATTACAACGTAGTTTCAATCAATGAGTCCGCCTGTACATGTAATAAAATAAAAATAGCAATTAAACTGCGACTTCTTACTCTCGTCTCTGCATCATTAGTCATTGCATCGGAAATAGATAAGTTATTTAGATCAGACAACGCTTGCCGACATGTTTGTTTACCTTCTCATACAGGGGGAATAAAATAGCAGTAAGAATATTGATCTGTTTTTTGTATACATACTCATATGGCTGGTGAATAAATTCATGCCAGACCATATTCTATCGAAATGAAACCAACATTATCCTGGTAGAGATTTATTATCTATGGATGAGAGAAATATTCCGAATCAGAACAGAAAAGGCAGTACAAATGAAAACTCATTCCCGACTTCCCGAGCATCCATTATAGACAGGAAGTGTCTATAGCATTGTATAGGGAAACAGCTGTAGTAAGACGGGCGCGGGAAAACAGCTTGACTTAGAGCAGGGGCACCGCCGCCCGTGAGGTTGGCCACCCCTGCACGGCCTACAGCCGTTGTTATGGCGACGTCCTATGATTTATGTTTGCCTGGTGACTAGTCGATGCTATACCGTCTTATTGTAAGAAAGATTTCTTTATCCATTTTGGTACTATTGTATACGCAGCACGTATCCAAACCCCTATAAAATGTAATGCTGTAGTTAGATCATAACTGACGTTATGAAGTCAGTTATCTGTATAGCGCAGTGATCGTATACTGAAGAAGTTTAAAAGTAACTAAGCGATTTAACTAATAAAAGATGACAGGTACGAAATTATTATTGTTTTAGTAAATAAAGATGGAGGGCCCTTATTTGCATATTTGAATTAACCGTTGTTTGTATACAAAACAAAGTCGTTTGTGAGGAGTCTCAGGTTAACGTTGAGTGAGTCGGGTGAAACAGACGCCGTCAGGTATCGATCATTTCTTCCCCTTCGTAAGGTCCTGGTGTTTGGATCAGGGATAAATAATATTTCTACGTAATAAATGGCAAAATCGAACCCCACGCAGAAAAGAAAAATAATCGCCTTAGAGGACAAGAAAGACTGTCTACTTACATGACTTCCCAAAATGGCACAATGTCGATTAGACGATACGTTTAATTTGACAAAATTATTAAAATAAAAATGCACTGACTTACATTTATCTACTAGCTAATGAACCTAATAAGTAAAAGTGAATAGAGTGAGATACATAGGTGACGTGTGAAAGAGACAAAAGTCAGGCTTTGTCTTGTTTATTATTCAGTGTGGCTACGGTCGTCGGAGGTTGCCTCGCTAAGGTATTTATGTACCGCCACAAAATATACGTACCCTTCACCTACATGTGTATATTTAGATTTTTAAATGACTTGCATTTTCATGATGATATTAAAAAAGTTCAATTGTTTGAAGTATATAAAGTGAAAACGAAACTTTACTGATATACGAATGTAGCGTCATTACAAATTTCATCAACAACTACAATATATGTACATTAGTAAATAATGTAACCATTCTGCTTTCAACGAATAATATCTGTCTAAATTAATCGATCACAGGCCCTAATTATAAGTAAATTAGATTAGTGATAAAAATAATAGGAGATAAACAAATTAAATCAAAGTCGATACTCCAATAACACATGAATAATATTTGTATATGTAATAACCCAAGTAAAACATCTACCAGAGTAGCAGAAATAGTCAGAAATTTTACACCACTCACGTTTGTAAAGTTGTGTACATAATCCATTAATGTTACATGTTATTACATGTCTTAGTTAGTAATTATCTTATATGTATTTCCTCAACACAACATATGAATCAATATGTAGACCGTAATTACTTTCTCCGCCTCCAAATTACTATCATCTTGAACGCAAATACGGCATTGTAAAATAACCTTTAGGCTTCTTATAATAAAGTTTCTTTTACATTTCAGCTACAATGTCGGCTTTTAAGTAGAGCAGAAATCTTAGAAAAGTAAACTTACTTCAAAGTTTGAATTTACATGGAACTGAGGCTATATTTAATTTCTTTAAGAGTAACATGCCAGGCTTCTAACATACATACAAATATTAAAAAATAGCTGTAAATAAACCAAGCCTGTCTGCGATTTGGTAATGTAAGTACAGTCAACTTGGATCAAAGTCGTAGCGGTTACCGTAGCGATCTCGTAGCCGCGTAGTAACAGTGTGGCGTAGCGATATTTTTATACAGGGAGTGCTCTTTAATTTTTATATTGAGTTACGTATTTAAATTTTTCTTTTACCGTGTAACTCTGTAGGTAGTGTTCGTTGAATTTTTAATATATTTTTAATGCCACTGTTGGTTGATAAATGAAGTTTGAATATAGTATTTCACTGATCTTTGCAAAAGCAAAATAATCTTTTACTCACACATTTAAAATGTCATTATTTTTACCACAAAATACAATAATAATGTCCGAGAAATATCAAATTTGTTTTTCCTCTCAATATTAGAAAGCGAAGGAAAACTTGTTATCTCCAAATAATACCAACATTTATCTCGTTTACTTCAAACCTTTTTATTATGACAAATCTCAGGTCGTTGCCCTAACGAGAACCTCTGAGGCTTTTGTGGTTAATTCTGTGTCGCTTTCACAACCGTTCATGATTTCTCCATTATTATTTCATTAAAGATATTTGCTGAATGATATTATTCGGAATACATTCGTTATTCTATAAATGTTAAAGATCAGTAAACTTCAATTGTTATTTAGTATCAAATAAATTGTTTAATAAATAATAAACATTTTCCAATGGAAAATATTCGGCAATTACAATAATTGTACTATATTTTAACCTTAATATAAAATAACCGCAAGAATTCACGTCAAATACGCATTACTTTATAGTCTTGTAAAGGCTACGAGAAGGGGGAAGGGAGTGGGGGCTGTGACCCGGTTCGCTACGCCGTAGCCCGCCGTAGCCGCGTAGCCGTGTAGCCGCGAGTGCAGTGCTCCCGTAGACACGTAGCACCCTTATGAATGGTATGTGCGACGCGTACGGAAGGAGGCTTTCAACTTTGTCATCCGTTTGAAACGGACGTTTTATTTTCAGCCGGAGTTGATTGAGGTGTTTTACATATAAAGAATATCTATGTCACTATATTATTAAGAAGGTGCCAAGCCTTTGTAACGTCACAAAAGGTAGTAGATTTATAATATACAGTAGTAAATATAAAGTTATTTTATAAAAATAAAACAACAATAAATCAAAAACTACATTAAAATAAATTCGGCTAATACCCAAAATATTTTTCACAGAAAACCTTCAAGCAATCGGTTCTCAAACATGCGTTGCATGCTTTTAAGTACTAGGGGAACATAAACACGAGCGAATATTTTCTTACTGTATTTATGTAGGTCACGAGAAACTGAAGCAAGTTTTGTATTCACGCGATTTTCATTCAGTATTTAATTGTACTCGATTCAGTAGCATCGCAGACATTCAATTATATCATTTTATCTTATGCAAGTTAAAATGTAGAACAATTTAGACTTGTACAAGAATTAACTGCGGGGAATTAAAATTTGTACTTTTGTGACCACAATGTACTATGAATAAAGTATAAAAAAGACACAACTTTAAACTAAAATGATCAAGACTAATACATAACACACTTTTAAATTTATTCGAATTCAATTGACATTTCACCATACAACAGTTTCTCTCAATGGATAAAACAATAATATAATGATCTTTATGATCTAAGCTACAAGGTTGATTATCGTGTGTTGGATACAGTGGATTATATAGCATGTTGTAAAAACAGATACGAGTGACCCACATTTATTGAGAGTATCTTTATACATCTTTGTAGAAATGTAAGGGGTGTACTTGTGTTGCAGTTTGTGTCTTGCACTGTCTGTTGTGCAAATATGCTCATATATCTATGTCGACTGAAGCACGAAAATTGAAGAAAATCTGAATTATTTTTATACACAAAAAACAACTGTTAAATGTATCTTTTTATAAATATAATTACACCACACAAATGGACGTATCGAGTATATCAAATAAATCACCACAATCTTAAAGATTCAGGCAAAGTTAGCACTCAATAACAGCGCGACCGTGGCCACTGGCATAGTGAAGTGACAGTAGACATTATGACCGCATGCTGTGACATTGTGACTCTGTGTGTCTCTCTTGTCACTTGTCATTTATGTCCACTATTGCGACCACAGAGAAGAGGTGGACATTTATAACTTTGCATTTACACCTGTAACAAAGGTACATACATGTATAACCTCACGCCTGTCTCCCATGGGGTAGACAGAGACTGTGCCTATATACATACCTCTCGCTTCATCGACAGTTATCAGTCTTTTCGTGCATGCTCGTACATAGATACAATTTGAGTTTACCAAAACAGCTATAATAAAGTACATTTTTATTAATTGACTCTGCTAGTTACAAGTCATCGGGACGCTTATTCAAGAGCAGTATGTGCGGACACTTTTATTGTTATAAAACCAAGGAATATTTCGATGTTTAGACGTAACTAATGGGACTTTTTATTATGCAGTAAATGCGCAATACTGTCCATCTTTTTGGGACTAAAAGTAAAAATTATTAAAAATACATGCATATATTTCAATAACAATATTGTCCAGTAGCTGTAAGTAGCTAAAATTCAGTGCCTAAGTGGGTCAATAGTTTCGGAAAAGATATCGGTAGAACAGGAACGAGCTCTGGCCGTATTTATCTAGAATCTATAGTTTATTGAACGGATCCGAATCTAGGGTAGAAATACTTCGAGCACTATTTTTGGTAGTGGTATAAAATAGGATTTTTATGACAATGGCAAGCGTGAGTGTTATGGCAAACCGTAAGTAAAAGCTCCTGGTCCAACAGTAAACTATCATTGGCTGGTGTATCTCTACATCCTTCAGAGGTGTAATTAAATTAAGTTTAACGTTTTTTTTCTAAGTGTCTAACAATAACCCCTAATTGTTTCACTTACAAAAACTAACAGTTAACAATTTATGAGTGTTTTGAATACACAAATTTTAAAACGTAAGAACTACTAACATTTGCATTGAAAGAATTAAAGCAATGTTAATCGCAAACGTTAAGGGAGCGGGGCAGCGGTATGAGCGAGTCTCATGTTAATTTGTCTAGATAGGCGCCTGGCAATACGCCAGCTACTTGTGCACATTCACTAAGTCGATATACTTATCGCAGGCTCTATGCTCTGTTAAGTTACTTTACTGCATTTTCTTTAGGTCTATATCTATACTGGTAGACTTATTTTAGAAAATTTTATATTGCATCGGCTTTATAAAGATTGTTTTGAAATCTTTTTAATATTAGATGTTTTATAGCAGTAAAGTGATTGTAAAATCTAAACAAGCAGCATAAACAAGAATACCTATGGTATTACCTCCGTAGTAATCTATATCAGCTCAATTTTATTAAACTGCGCTACGAAGTTCGTAGCATGTGCTACGCCACAGACGTAGGCCGTAGACGCATAACTTGTTATAGACAAATGTCTACGTAAGCGTCAGTTACCCAAACAATGTGTGGGAATTATCAAAAAACATAATTGGCTAAAAATAAAGAATATTCCACCATTTAACCAATAGAAGTTAATTGCCGACAATTAACTTTGTTAGTGCTAATTTTAATGCAAAAAATCAACGTGTCAAATCAATTATGGTAATAAATTAAGAGTATCAATAATTGTCGACAAATTAACGACACGGCCGCCGGTCGATGCCGCGGATATCAATCGGAACAGACGAACTAATCTCAATCATAATCGGAAAGCGATTCTTCACCATATGTATTAACACAAACATCCAATTCCACAAATACAATACAATAACAACTTTAATACGTATGCCTAAAGCCTAAAATACCATTGCTAAATCGGCTCGACATTTACGTTCAAAAATAAAACCAGTAATCTCTATTTCATAGAGCGTAGAGCTGAATTTAGCTTGACGCATACCGTGGAGGTTACCGCCCGGGTCGTCAACCTGTGATTCATAAAACTACCCTCCATTACATATAGGCCTTTCCCATTTGTAACCGCCGGGGATTATACCTGCTTTTCACGCGAACTGAATTTCAAGCCAGTCATTATGTTTTGTTTAATTAATTTGTTGCCACACTATTTGTGTGCTTATGGGTGATTTCTGCAGATGCTATAAATATTCGTGTAGGAACTGAAATACGTACTGAAATTCATCAATATTTGCAGAAGTATTGTAGCCATACATTACCACGCTTAATGTAAGCATTTACATAAAAACTTTCTAATAATCTACTTCCTAGCCACGTCTGTAATAGAAATTGTTCAAAATAATTACATTTCCCGAAATACACACGTGACCCTGTTGGGAATGTAAGTGAGTCGTGTTCTAAGTAGTCAGGTCATGTCTTAACGGAGTCGCGGATGCTGCGCGCTACATTGCCATGTTTTTGCCGCATTGGGGTAAGACGTGCGAGCGGGACGCACAGCTGCCTCCAACACGTGTTGATGCGAGACAACAACATTACCGAACACGTAACACGTGTTTCTTTATTACTTCCAACTTATTAAAATTTACCAAATCAACAAGAAAATTTTCGATATTTTTGTTACTGTTATATGCATGTCAAGTAATCATTTCATCAATTCGTGTACGGATGGTATCGTCATGTAGTTTGTGTGAATCAGCCGAGCAGTCGCGTACACTGCGCGCCAGCTTGACGCCGACTGACGAATTACATTACTCATTCTGTTAACTACCCTACTGGTGGCAAGGGACGGGGCCTGTCTTGAGAGTCGTATCGACGCCGGGAACATGCCCGCAGCTACTCCGTCATACCCTAAATGTATAACGTCTAAACGGCCTTCAGCACTGTACAATGCCACGACCGCTATGAATGTCGTTTTAGTAAATAACCTTGAATTTCCACGGGCCTACGGTACGCGCCTGCTAACCCAACTTGCTAGTAAATTCCTCTGCTGACATTGTGTGGTGGTTAGTTTTAATAAAATGTCTTTATTTGTTCCAGGTTGCAAGATCAAAGCGCTTCGCGCAAAGACCAACACATACATCAAGACTCCGGTTCGCGGCGAGGAACCGGTATTTGTAGTAACTGGACGCAAGGAGGACGTCGGTCGTGCCAAGCGCGAGATTCTCTCAGCGGCCGAGCACTTCTCTCAGATCCGCGCATCACGCAAGTGTGGAGCTGCACCACCACCACCAGCTGGCGCGCCCGGACACGTCACTGCACAGGTGCGCGTGCCATACCGCGTCGTGGGGCTCGTCGTCGGACCCAAGGGCGCCACTATCAAGCGCATCCAGCACACCACACACACGTACATCGTGACACCATCGCGCGAGCGCGAGCCTGTGTTCGAGGTGACGGGACTGCCTGAGAGCGTGGAGGCTGCACGCAAGGAGATCGAGGCGCACATCGCACTCCGCACGGGAGCTGCGGGGTCGGCAGGCACTGGAGTGCCCGCGCAGACTGACAGCGAGCCACTCGCCACGCTCTACCGCGCTGGGCTTGCGTCGCTGTTGCGGCCTGATCAAGAAGCTGCATTTTCATCTGCTGGATCTTGCTCATCGGGAGGATCATCGGCGCGGCTTGGTGATCTGCTGGGAATCTGGTCTTCAACGGAGCGCGACGAGGGACTGGGCGAGTCACCATCGTTCGAGTCACCAGGCGGCGGCACCGCCAATGTGTGGGCATGGGGCCCGACGCGGCCCTCGCCTGCAGCATCGCCAGCACGCGCGTGCGCAGTGTGCACGGAGCGCGGCGTGGCGGCGGCGCTGGTGCCGTGCGGCCACAACCTGTTCTGCCTGGAGTGCGCGCAGCGGCTGGCGGCGGGCGGCGCGCCGTGCCCCGCTTGCTCGGCGCCGGCGCACCAGGCTATCCGCATCATCTCGTAAGGCGCTGGGTACATGCCGCCCGCGGCCGCTGCTAACACGAGTCGCACGTTCTCGTATTAGGGATCTTTTTTACTCGAATCGTTATAAAAAAATATTAAAAGAAGTAAAAATCGCGTAATCGAAATCCTGGTGCCAAAAGTCGGCGCCTCGCCGGCACGGCCCGTCCGCCGCGCCGTACCTATCTTAAGTCGGCAGAGTTGTTCACGATATATTTTCTTATTATGAACGTTTTTTATTAGGTCGTCGAGCGCGCGCCGCGCTCTTCGCCGCAGAGAGAGTCGAAAGTACGTTATGATAGAAATTTCGAAAAAAACATAAAATTTAAAAAAAGTTGTATAATTATTATTGATAGCGTAATGAGAAATCGAAAATTTATAAAGCTTAATAACGTAATAGCGTAAAGTATTAAGATATTATAATAATAATATAATAGGCGAGGGACGGGCGGCGCGGGGAGCGGGTCGCAGCCTGTTGTCTGTTGAGAGTCTAGTGTAATGTAATAGAGTAAGTGCAGCGCCCGGACTGTGTCGCTGCGTGTGCGCACTGGGCGCTGGCTAGGTAATGCGTTGTTAGGTAATGAGTCGGTTGTGGACGCGGCCGGGCCGCAGGACTGACGCTGATGCTGGCCGGCCCCCGCCCCGCTCCCCCGCGCGCCATGCTCACATTATTTTTGACTATGATATGAATATTCGCTTAAATGATATTATACATACGTACACACTATGATTATGATAATATTAATATAATGTTTGTTTTAAGCGTGTTTTAATGTTTAGATTTTTATTGTAATGTTTTTATGAATGATTTTTATCTGTATGATTATTATTATTGATTATTATTTTATGTGTTGACAATGTTTTTTTGTGATTACGTGCGCCCGCGCTGCGGGCCGAGGCTGCTGTATGTTCGTTTAGTGGTTATGATATCGAATAATAAATTTAAAGTAATAAACGGTAAAGAAATAATACGACTCATTCATTATTATATAAACTATAGTAGTCTGTAGCACATTGACTAACCATTACCTATGGATACTTATTAAGTATTATTATATTATTGAATAAATTTAAAGAATGCATAATTATATTTCATAGGATCATTATTCTGTATAACTCTAGTTAAATATAACAATAACAAATATGATTGTATATGTATGAGAGCGACGTTATTGTTCAGTTACCGGGGGCTCATTTTATGGATTGATATTTTTTATTTTTTTACCGTTATTAGTTTTTGACTTACTCATGTAAAAATACGCGAGAATAAAATATCAGCCTATTAGATTATATTTTAAAAAATAATGGTTACGTAAAATGAACCCCCGCCGTACGTAGTAATCCAGTGATTTCGATAATTTTATTTTCATAATAAAATGGGTAGACGCTTTAGGTTCAAATAACGTTGTGAGATTTGTGAAATTTTGTAGACTACATATCTTATTATAAATCTAATATAAACTATAACTTTCGAACTTATATCTTTTTATTTTATCCTTGCACACAAGATGAACGATGAGGAATGTTTACAGCTGAAACCAGAAGAAGTATTTACAGGTTATTTTCATGCATAAATTGCATATGAAAGAAGGTCACAGTAAATAACCCGATTAGGTTGCTACGTTTGATGCTCGTAGCGCGGGCTACGCCGCTACACGGCTACGCCGTAGCATGTACATATGATCAAATTACTACTGAACTGACTAACACAGAGTTAGTTACTGCAACAAGTTTAAAATTCAGGGTCTGATCTTTAAACTGATGAAGGCTGAGAGGTCTATTTTAATGGGTTCGATTCCCGTACAAGGTTACTATCGCTATTATACTGTCTAGATCATCAAGTATTTTTTAAATCTTAAGCATTTTTCTCGATGAAAGGGTTCGAATCCCATGTGACAAAGAAGTTTGATTAAACGAAGTTTAATAAAATAACGGTTTCACTACATTTCTATGCTGGCTATTCGAAAGATAACTAAAACATATATTAACTTAAATATAAATAAGAACTACAAGTCACTACCTAATTCAACATATGACATCAGCATTTGGAACTGCCTACCTTCAACCCATTTTCAACTTTATGTACAAAACGATAAAAGGAAAATTCGGTTGAATAGTTAGGACCCACAAAAATCACAGGGGATAGTAGTCACTTTGATAATAAACCTGTTTAATGAGTCGACCACATTGTCAGAGTTGCGGAGAGACATGGGATACTCGTAGTGAGCTGTCGTTCGACGAGGAGGACTGAGGAGGAGGCTTTTGTTCAGCAGTGACCGTCTTGATGATGATTATAATGGTGAAGTAACGAGCCTGTCAATTAATTAGCCACTTAGTATACACGTAAAAATTAAAATACCTCAAATTTAATCTACATTACATTTTCAACTTTATGTACAAAGCGATAAAATTAAAAATCCATTAATCAAAGTTGTGAGTACGGAATACGCTGTAGTGCTTAGGGTCCAGGTGAGTCACAAGGGACAGTCGTCACTTAGATAATGAAGCTGTGTAATGAGCTGGCAAAGCCTCCCGCTAATGAATGCGCCATTACAATCACTTATATCGTAATTAGTAAGCTGTTCGCTGAAAACAAATTACTACAGAGTTCAAGAGAGGACGCTGTTCGAATTTGGTATCGTAGTGACTTTGATTACGGGTTCGATACCCGTTCCAAGTGCCTGTATACTGGCTTGTTTCCAACGTTCTGGGTTTGATTCCCGCACGAAATGGTTCAATCTTGTATGTTTGTTACCCACGACATTGGAAATAATGCTAAAGTGACGCCATTGTTCGTAAATATTATCATCATCTTTATTGCTTTCTAAGAACACATGTCATTATGTGTAACTTCATCAATACTTTGTTAACCTTTTGAACGCCAGAGCAAAAACGCATGAACTTGCCCTCAACGCCAGGCCACAAATTCACCGCAAATACCTACGAAAAAAATAGGGATTCCAAAACTTCATCGATAATCAATTTTATTTTCATTTTCGTCTTTAATTTCGAAATATAATGTCCTTATAACATTGAAATTTAATTCAACATTACATTTCTTCCTATTAAAGTAATAGTTATACACTATTTACAGACTTGTATAATACCGTAATAACAGATATGAGACTACAATATATTTAAATATAATAACTGTAGGTACAACACTATTCTTGATCTGCTGTCTTCATATTGTGACCATGGCGTGGACGGCCCGCCATTTTAATAACTACTTCGCTTCCGAAATAAGGATGTGGCAACGTAATATCTCGTTTATCGATGTTCTATATGTACAATATTATTTTATAATAAATGAAACACGTTTTTTAAATCAGATTTATAATTCCGAATGTAACAGGTACTTAAAAATATATGATTGAAATAGGTTAAGAAGGTAAATAAAAACTATGAAAAAATAGAAAATTTTAATAAAATGTTATACAGTATGTACTATGTATACATGTTTTTAAATATTAAGTTCTATAAACCTGGCATAAAAAGTAACAAATTAAAACAATTAACGATTATATATAATTATCACAATTACTAATCAGTCTTATACTAATAAATCTTTTGAATAATAGAACAAAATTATACAAAATCTACAATGCAACCTGCATTCTGATCATCTAATTCGCTGGGTGCAAAGTGGGTGGTGGGGACAGTGAAATCGATCTCAGCGCGCACCGTGGCTAAAAAAGGAACTTTTGGCAGACTTTATTCCACAAAGTTATAGGTAAATATGGAGCCCACATTTAGAATAGAAGTTTCGAGTCAAATACTCTCGCTCTTCTTCCGTAGTCATTAAATTCCCACTCATTATAATAGTCACTTAATATAAATCTTGAACTCGATATCACAAGTAAATTAATCATAAATATTATTCATTCACTTCACTAATTTCTGGTCGCCGCGCTTGTGACGTCACGATATTGTCGTCTAGTCGTGACCATGGCGTACAGGGTACTGATAATTCGGGTTGCGTTAGGGATGCGCTTGAGTTGGGATTAGTGAATATCGAAATTCGACCCAACCAAATTTTATTTTTGACTATGTAGCTTATTGAATGATTTTTAAGACTGGTTTTATAAAATTAATGCTGCTTTATCCTAGTACCAAATTATACCTAAAATAATATATTCCAGAGGAAAGTTTCGAATCGATCTTTGATTTGAAATAATGATATTATCCAACATGCGCTACATCACTAGCGGTCACGCAGTTATGACTCTGGCGTGTGAGGACATTCTTTTTTCAGAGTTTATTTCTTTCTTTTTAACGTAAAATTTCTCAATATTTATAATGCAATTTAATTAGTTTTATGGAAATAAATAAATTTTGGACCTTCTATTTTACAGGTATATAAATAAATAGGCATTAAAGTAATGTTTAAATAGTTTATTTCGTGTTTTAATGTACCGCTGTCTTTGTCACATATTTGTGTCGTTGGCGCTCAGGGACAGTTTTCGCTTGTCACGTATTTGTGACCCTGGCGCTCAAAAGGTTAAAAATATTACATCAAATATCAATACTATACAAAAATATCGAACGTAATCACTCGAGCGATCTTGAGTACCTACGAGAGTATACTGAAGACCTACTTCAGTGAGTGCCCTAGAGATACGAATACCTACCTGAAAACAATTACTATTATTTAATTTAATATGTTGTAAGTCACTAGACAATTGTGTTCGTAATGGAATGTTCATGAGGTTTATATCAACGAATTACATAACATAACATCACGCCTTTTATCCCCGAAGGTGTACATTACGGCACTTAATGCCACTGTACAATGTAACACCCACTTTTCACTATTTATGTTATGAGTCCCAAGTAATAGGGGGTGAGCCTATTGCAATATACCGGGCACAATTCCAGACTCCGTGCTACTATTGAGATTTTTTGAAAAACCTAGTAATATTTTGCCCGACCCGGGAATCGGACCCGAGACCCCTTGCCCGGCAGTTGCACTTGCGACCACTCGGTCAACGAGGCAATATTGTACAAGTACTATTGTAAATTATTAATTAGGTCTAGTGCCTATTGACTTATTTTTTTATGAAATAGTTATACATAGTTGAAAGAGAAAACGTCTAAGTAATTTAATCAAAAAGTACTAGGGCCCCGTAAAAGCATAGGCACTAAAATAATTCACATTTGTCATTCATTCATTACTTACTACATAGAAATTGTACGCCATCATATTGTAGACGTGCTACGAAATTCGTAGCACGTAGCGGTTTGAACTACGCAATGCACGTAGCAGTAGTTACATATTGCTTGTGTTTATTGGCCACTCTACACGATTTCAATGCGAAATGTACCAATAGATAGTCTCACATGTACTTTCATATTTTTCATACATAATATCACGCTTACTTATCTGTTTCGAGGGTAAACATAACAGTAAAAGATTGTGAGAGTAGATTTTGGTTGAAATGTGATCGCGTTTGAGGTCAAGTACATTTTCGAGTACATTTTCATATGAGTGGTAGTCTGGTAGATATTATTCTTGAATTTTAGAGTACTGTCATGGTAGTTTAACCTGGTATCCATGTTACTTATTTAATTAAATATTAGACTATAAATATCAAACCTGTCTTTATAAATTACCTTAGTTCCAACTTGTTAAGGCAACACCTATTGCCATTGTACTACAGCTGTTGCTACAGAAAATATTAAAATCGAATCATTTGTGCACTTAAATTGAGAATTTGAGCCCTGTTACTTCAACCATTGTTAAATATTTGTATAGGTACCAGGGAACGATGACACTGGAACTACAATTTTAAAAATTACGTATAAGTATGTTGTCTGTGGATACTAGTTAATTTGGCTGCACATTCATTAAATAAACGTTGACCAACGATAGGTATAATGAATGAGTTGTCGCTTCTAGTAGTAATAGGAATAAAATACTCACATAAAAACTTAACCTAAAAAAATCTAAACTCTTTCTCCTCTCAGCATAAGTTTAAAAATATAATTTTATCTGTAAGAGAATAAAACCTCAATAATAAACCAGTTCAAAGTGGAAAAAGAAATGAACTCCAAGGTTGATCACCCGGTGGTACCAGGGCAGCAGGTGTTAGTAGGTAATAATAGCGACCTGAGGTGCATTGACACACAACCAGGTGAGTGTCACAAGGGCTGGGAATGTGACCAACTGACGAACGTGGACTTGTACTCGATGTGAGCTTTCTATTGAATGGTATAATTGATTAAACACATACCATAACATCATGCCCTTTATCTCGGAAGGGGTAGCCAGAGGTGCATATTACGGAACTTAATGCCACTGTACAATGTAATACCCACTTTTTACTATTTATGTTATGAGTCCCATATAATAATGGTTGAGCCTATTACCATATGCCAGATACAATTCTAGACTCCGTGCTACTACTGAGTTTTTAAAAAAAAAACAGTAATACTTTGCCCTAACCGGAAATCGAACCCGAGACCCCTTGCCCAGCAG